TATTCAAAAATGAGCAAGTTTTGCATATAAGAAAGTACTGAACCAAACAAGAAAGATTACAAATTAGAATGCAAATGTAATTTGAAATTACCATGATAAGGAGACTAGTCTTCGTATGGACTTGTTGCTTCAGACAATGATCTAGCAGTCTTGACATTCACTGAGTCAAAGGAGACTTCAGATCTGACTGGCTGGCCCAAAATTGATGACTTTTACATCAAGAAGGTCTTGCACCTCATCTTTGAATAGTTTATAACCTTTAGTTGAATGGCCAAGTTCCCCAATATAGTAATCACATTGGATTTGCTCAACAGATGTGTTGAATGCTTAATCAAGCGAACTTGCATAAACTGCATCATAAGTTATCTTCTACTACAGAGAAGAAATGTTGACCATCTTTTACTACGTAGAAGAGAAAATCAGCCGCTGAACTCCAGAGCATCTCTTACTACACAAAATAAAAATCATCTTCTATTACACAGAAGCAAAATCCAGCAACCATACCAAAGGATCTTCTACTACATATAAGAAAATAAACTTCATCTCCTAATTCACAAAAGAGAAGTTTTAGCAACTGAATTACAGGGAATCTCCTACTTCACAAAAGAATCTATCTTCTACTACACATAAGCAAAATTCAAAAACTGTAACAAAGAATCTTCTACTACACAGAAGAAACTAAACTATGAATATAGAATTCGACCTTTGAGGTATTTTTCTTCTACACAACAACAGATGTCCAAGAACTAGGCATCTTATGCTTCTTCATCACAAAAGCATCACTTCATCTTCTACTACACAAAAGAAGCATTCAACTGAGGAGAAAGAGTATGAAACGGTTTTCCAAACATGGACTTAACCTTGGAAAAGATGCCAGACATGTGCTAGACTTCATTTTTCCACCCCCCTTGCAGTTTTCAATATCATAACCAGGTGCCCCAGAATGGGAGACACATCTAGCATTTGCATCAAAATCAGGAGGGAAATTTGTGAGAGGATGACCCAAAGCACAAAGCTTAATCAATTGAGCTTCCAACACACGAGGAAGTAACTGGATGCAAGGTATAAAGATTGCATCAACATGCTTCTCAGGTTTCTTCTGTCTCCGCTGGTAAGTTTTGCCCCATGGGTTCCCCTGAAGGCCATAAACTAGCTGCTAACGAGAAAATCTAGGAACACGAAGTTCTGGATAAGACCCATAAATTATCTCATGATTTAAAAAAAAAAGGTCCAATATAATGGGGATGAATGACAACTCTTATTGCAACAGCGTATACATGGCCACTTTTCTTTGCTGACATTGTCTTCAGAACTTCCATACCTGCCTCAACTGAGTCTCTAATTGGTTATCTTTTCCACCTTTAAGGATTTCTGACCATGGGCTAAGACCTGCACGTCCCCAATAAATATCCACATCTAATTTTTTTCTCATCCAATTCCCCACGAAGTTGTTCCACGGCTTTTTCGGATCACGGTGCGGTGAGAAGTCAAGATTTACAATTCTAAAAAGAATACCGTGTCTGAATAAGAATTCCCCACTCTGAGTACCTTTTATGAATGCATAAAGATGCATGAGGTGAATGAGTGGATGCAATGCCATGTTCAATCATTTTCAAGGAACCTGTATGCTTCAATTCTTTTGTAAGTAAGAGATGGATAAACACAACATAATGTTTACAAGCACGATTCCTTGGAAATGGAAATAACATATGTATTAACTTTTTTCATGCATACAATTTTTTTACACGTTTCTTTTGTAAAAGGTAAATATGTTATGATGCAAGGTGCAATAACGCATGTTCAAAATTTCAGCATAGCAACTGTATAATCCTCTGGGTAACTACTGTATAAATTTGCTGAATAATTCGGATATCACATTATCAAAGGTTTGGCACCACTTTCATAACACAACGAAACCAAGTACCGTGAAAAACCTTTCTATAATCTTTGAACAAGTTGAATATATCAGGATTGAAGGTCCAGAACATAACCAAAGAACTATAGTCATCAACAGAACAATATGGTCACCATCATAACAAATAGTCACCATCTATACCTGTAAGAAAAATTCCTGCCCCGATCACGGGTGAAACTAGGTCAAGGTAAGCAAAGGTAACTCAAAATCATGGGTTTGCTTGAGAGTACTATCATCATACACCTACGTGATAATGATAACACCTCATTAAAACCTCATCTGATCATGGAAGACACGACCGTCAAGGGTAATCTACATGCCCTATCTGTCGTATTCCACTCTATTCCTAGTGTTCCCGTGGTTTTCACTTGGCCTGGGTATTGGGCCTTTTACCTCTTGTAACACCCACCCAACATGGAAACAGATCCATCACAACAGATAACCAATATGGAAAGCAATAAAATGCATGCACAAACATATGTAAGTAGTGTATATAAAGCTGTAAATAACTGGAAATAAATAAACACCCAAAGAAGTAAACAAACAAGAGATAAGATCGACTCCGGGATGGACCAGCAATAGGTCAATCTTTCCCCAGTGAAGTCACCAGCTGAAACAACCAGCTGAACAATCAACTGATAATAAAGTCGCCATCAAACACTTTTATCCCACGAGAAGGGAAAGGTAAGCATCGAGTAAACCTGAGAAGGGTGAAATCACGATCAAACGACCAGAGATTGGGTACGGGAGTCTTCTACGCGAGGAGAAGGTATTAGCACCCCACACGCTCGTAGTACTCTATGGTATCCACTCTTGTTGTCTATCTTATGGGTGTGTTAGAATCTATATCTAGACTTAAGAGCTAAAAGAGAATGAAAAGAGGGAATGCATGCAAAAGAAAAGAGAAAATAATATAGGGAAAAATAAATTTATGCTCGCTCGGGCCCTACCTCAATGCCTACGTATCCCTTTTAAGGAATCAGAGTAGTCGTAGTTCGGCTCACATATTTAGTTTTTTTGTCTTTTAATGAACAATGTCAAATTCAATCATTCCACCGCTGCTCGACCATTGGAGACTCACGCATCTGTAGTGTAAAGAACATAACATTCTCTCACCTAAACAGGTGTTTTCAAAAGAAAAAGGTGCCCGAAGGCAGACGATGTTACGTTCTCGACTCTTAGCAAGTAGGCATGATGCAACCCGATCCTTGGGGAATTATGCGTCGTATTGCGTAGAGTGGAAGTAACATATCCTTTTTAAAGTTCCTAAGAAAGGCCCAAAGGTAGAAAATGTTTGTATTGGTTGATATTTTTTTACCTTAAAGAAGGATTTCGAAGTTGTTAGATGTTTTATGCTTTGCCAAGAAAAAAGTTTTAGTCTTAATGCAAGGATGCAAAAGAAAGAAAAACATCTAAGGGAGACTAACCTAGATTTATCCCTAATATTATCATACAATGATTAATTCTAAGGTTAAGGATGAAAAGGGAAATTTCTACCCTATGCTAGCATGCATGGATACCATCCTAATGTCTAGCTCACAAGCTACTCTAATCGAGCAATCCTAAAGGAGCACAAAAATTCCTATCCTAAGGGAACATGGTATAGCAAATAAATAAGCAAACAAGTGCTTTGGCAAAAGCACACAGACATAAGTAACACATATTGACTCAAAGGGATGGGGGAAACAAGAGAAATTCTTTACCTAAGGGGAGCGTATCACCTGAAGCAAACAAGTGGGAGACAGATGTAGAATAAAAATGTGATGTCCAAAGCAACTGAACACCTAACCAAGATATAGAAGATCAAGGTAAGTGACAAAAGACAATATGAATGATCATGGAGTGTCAGCATTAGCCAATGCAAACTCCTAAAAAAATATGGGGGTTTGATTGCAAAACCCTTCCCCACTTGACGGACTCGATATACAAGATATGCACAACTCCGAAGCATCGACGTACAACGTGAGTTAAGGATTACATGGACTAGAATATGAGGGGGTCGATTGGGGACCATCCCCGCTCGTCTCCTTTTGAGGAATTATCATTTGTAATATAACGCGGGCACAAATGTAAACACGCGTGCGGAATACCTACTTCAAAGGTAGGATTTTAAACAACCACAATTAGTATATAGAAAGCGGTGCCTGCTACAGGATTTTAAACAGCAACTTTGAGAGCACACTCTTTATTTCCTGCTTCCTACTTCACATGATTTCTAGAAAGCGATAAATGCCCCAACTATACATGATCTCTAGAAAACGACAAAATGCTGAAATGAGAAAATAGAGAAAATACCAAACGAACAAAAGTTTGTATCATGGCAAGCAAAGCAGAGAAACCCGGAAAACTTTGAGTAAGCTTCACCAAGCAATAAAAAAGAGTCTGAAATCAAATGCTCGTAATAAGTGTCGAAGCATCACCGATGTGAAAATAAATCACAATCGAAATCTCGCGCATATCCGCACATCACACAATAAACCTGCATAAGACTCAAATCTCAACAAGCAAAGGAGAATTACAAATCTCAATAATCGGATAATCGGGATTTAATTCCTAAAACCAAATAAAAAAAATCTAACAAATTTTATATTTTATTTTATTATTTTTATCATGTAAAAAAAGATTTAAATAAATCTAAACAATTCACAAAATTATTTAAAGGAAATTACTAAAATAATAAACAACAAAACAAGTCCAGGGGGTGCAAATTGAATTCAGAAGTGGCATGTTGAAGTAACCTGGGCAAGGTAGGCCCGTTGAACAGAAGCCCATAAATTATCTTTTGCTACAAAAACGAGCTCGAGAGGGAGGTGCAAAAATGATCTGGGTGCTAGGCCCATGCAGCCGAGTCCGCTAGCCAGTTTTTGTGGCACACCATTCAAATGCGAAAAAAGGGACAGCGTATTGGGCTTAAGGAGGTGCAATCTGGTCCAGTATCTTTTTATTTGTTCTATTGCAACTCAAACTCCCAAAAAACACAGATTATGGGCTCATGATAGGTATGTATGGCCCAGTCCAAACACCACCACCTGATCCATCAGATTATATTATTTCCGAAAATAGGATGTAAAAACGACTGTGTTGGATGAGTGACGCTTCAGCTCCCCATTCATTCAACCTTATCTCTCCTTCGAACAACTTCTCTCTGAATTCCTCATCAGAGCGATTTACGATGGCCAACACTATCGTGAATCATCCCTTAGCCTCCTCTAATCACTACAAAATCAACACAAACCCTACTTCTTTTACATTCCTAATCACGAATCCCACGTCTTCTTCCATCAATTTCCCTTCAAACATTCTGAATCTGAGTTTTATACGTAAACCCTAGACTGCTTCAAAAATGAAATTAAACGGTGATGAGCTATATTATGAAGCCGGATGCTTAGGGAAAAAGCTTAGGGATGCCTAGTCCATGTCACAAAATCAAGAGTTTAACGAAAGACGCAGTGAATCAGACTAACCTTATGGCGGCGATAGGGAGTGATTTCCAGAGATGTTGTGAATTCAGGTAGTCTTTTGTTCACTACTCTTCGTCTTGGTTTCATTCTCTATTTCATCTTCTTCTATGTGTACATCTAGTTGGCGAGTTTGATGTAGTTGTTGCTCGCGTTGCAGAAAGATGACGAAGGCTCTACGGTTTAAAGGTTCGGAAAAAATGGTGGAGATGATTGAAGATTGGAGGCGCGATGATGTTGCAGATTTACAATGATGATGCTTGCAGTGATGTGGTGGTGAAGATTGAAGGTTGTAAGGTGCAATGAAGGTTCTGTAGGAGTTGAAGGTTGAAGTGCAGCATCAATGGAGATTATGCATAGGTTTGAAGTTTGAAGGTTGGTGAAGAAGATGTTGATATGGTTCAGAGAAAGAGGTGAAGATGAAGGTGGTTAAAGATGCGGTTATGGTGCAGAGAGAGTTTGTTCTTTGATTCTTCAGAGAATTGAAGAATGAAATGAATCTGTAAGTTTTCTGTTATATAATTTGTTTTTTCTGTTGGAGTTTGTTAGCAAAATCAGTTAGCTCTGTTAGAGAGTTTATAGGAGATGTAAGAAGTTGGTTAGGTTTTAATGAATCTGAGTCCTTGATTCTAGTAGTTAGTTAGAAGAATAGATGGTGAGGATTGAGTTTGTGAAACTTGCTTGAGAAGCTTTGGGCAAACTACTGAGCTGGAATTTTTGTTTAACTGATTTTCTGATAAAACTCTCTTTTCTGACTTATTGTTGAGTTGTCCATTACTCTATTCTTGTACTGATTTTTTGGCTGAACCAATTTTATTGTTGAACTGGTTTATTGATTAAAGGATAGTTGTTTGAATATGTACATGTTCAAGGCTGCGATGGTTAGTTTCTTGGACTTGGACAGCAGGGAAACCAAGGACTAGTTTTGGACTGGTTTATGCAGGTTTGGGACAACTGCAATTTTAGGCTGTTCTAAATTGTTGGATAGCAGCATGGTCTCAGGCATAGGTTTAGGATTTGAGCTTAGAATTTAGGAAATTATTTTCATGTACTTGCAATTTTTCTTGAATGTATCTTGTAAAACTTCTATGTAATTTTTCTTGAATGGAAATTTGCTTTAAGCATGATTTGACGTATCATGAATGAATTTTGAAACATGATCTTTAAGACACTTGAATGAACCTTGAATGAAGTAATTTAGACTTTGATGAATGACATTGTTTGTTTGGTTTTGAATGATTTTTTGCATGAAACTCATGGAAGGATTTTGAATCTTGTATGAGAACCTTGACTTTCACAATTTTGCAAGTAGAATGTTGAAGTATTCTAAGTGGTTTTATGATAACTTTATATCATAAAGAACTCATATACAAATGGTTGGCCTTCGCAATATGGAATCCATGACCTTTCTAATGAACCTTGGTCAAAAGTCTTGCCTTGTATCTTATGATTCCATAAGAAATTTGCATTAAAATCAATCATGCCATGCTTGAAACATCTTAAACCAATTAATTAAATTCACGAGAAAACAATGTACTCATTATTCTTAATTCCTTGTATTTGAAGCAATCCTTGATTGAACCAAACTTGGACTAGTGAAATATAGTTCCTCAAAGGAGGTCTCAATGCACATATTTCTCAATGATTTGATTTAAAGACCACTCAAGAATGAAACTCAAGATAAAATCCTAACTCAAAGAATCTTTGTGGAACAACCATTGCCACTTAAGCACTATAAAACCCTGATATTGCACAATCACTAAACTTTGAACCAAAGTGTTTTATTGAATGAAAACATGTGTTATGTTAATGACCTAATGGAATATATGCAAATGAATGCAAAATCCTAAGCCAAAGCCAGGTAAAAGAAATTAGGAGGGCAAATTTTGGGTACAACAATGTTGTATTATAAATTTTTGATATTCATATCGCTTTTATAATGGAAGTTATTTAGGTTTCACCCGGATCACTAATGAAAGTGTCTTGAGCATTCATAGTGGTGTTAATGGACAACAAGAATTTGATTAAGGACGATGACAAATATCCTCAAAATTAACGCTAAAATATCCCATGTAATTTTAGAAAACTCGAGGTGAAAGATTTTTGTTATTATTAATTTTTAATTTACATAATTTACAAAGAATTTTAAAACACAATATTACAACAAATTCAGATTCTTGGAGATAAACAAATCTTTACTATAAGGAGTTATTGGGATAAATTGTTTACAACATATCTTTGGTGGAATCCTCAGAGATCTCATAGTCCTCAGAGATTTCATGGTCTTCAGAGATTTGTTTTTAAGCGTTTCTAGATTAAAAAAAATTATGGCAATGGACAGTGGTAAATATTTCCTCTATCTGTCAGGGCTACATATTAGTTAGAATTTGGGTAAAATCTATTTTAAAAATGTCAAATTTCATAGAATTTGTTATATATATATATATATATATATATATATATATATATATATATATATATATATATATATATATATATATATATATATATATATATATATATATATATATATATATATATATATATATATATATATATATATATATTGGCAATTACATTGTTTACACAAAATATTAAAATAAATGGTTTACAACAAATTTTTTCTCTTTAGAATGAATATCTTCGCCGATATTCATCATCTAAAGGTTGAGTTCTGTTAGGAAAGGAAATTATATTCTATGATTCTTGTTATTATGAGAGTTAGTTGCATCCATGATTCTTGTTGTAAATATGGTAACATGGCAACTGTCATATCAGTATAATAGGAATAGATTGCTGAATTATAGGAACACAATCATCTTATTAGAGAAATGTATATGTGTATATAATGCTCTAATGTTTCTGAATAAAACACAACCAAATTATTTCCATCTTCTCCTGTTATTTTGACATGGTATCAGAGCAGTAACGATCTGCTCCATTTCCTTCCCATATTTTTTGCCTATCAATTTTTTTTACTTTCTAAATCATTATGGTCAATGATGGAAACAAATCTGATTCCAATAGCTCTTACTCTCTTCACCATTCCGATCATCCGAGAATGATTCTTGTTTCTAAACCTCTCAATGGTGACAATTATTCGACTTGGCGTCGAACCACTACCATCTCATTGAATGCAAAATATAAATTTGGTTTTGTTGATGGAACCCTCAAAGCACCATCTGTCAAAACAAAACCGGAAGACTATGCGGCATGGAAAAAATGCAATGATATGGTTTTGTCATGGATTCTTAATTCATTGACCCCTGATATTGCAGATAGTGTTATTTTTTATAACACTGCTCATGAAGTTTGGGAAGATCTTCAAAATCGTTTCTTTCAAAGCAACGCACCACACATTTTCCAGATCGAGAGAGAGATTGCTTGCATTACTCAAGATCAAATGACAGTTGCTGCATACTACACAAAATTAAAAAAATTGTGGGATGAGCTAGGATCCTACAATGATGCTATTTGCACATGTGGAGCGAACAACAAAAGACGCAAGTTGATGCAATTTCTCATGGGGTTGAATGAATCTTATAATGTTGTTCGTGGTCAACTCCTTTTGATGAATCCTCTACCAGATGTTTCACAAGCTTATTCTTCCATCATTCAAGAAGAAAAGCAACGAAATTTGGGTGCAAGAAGAGAGACTATAGAAGCTTCTGCCATGGCTGTCCAAAGAGAGGAACCAATAGCCCTCGCTGTTCGACACAATTTTGGTCAGTACTCTCGTCCCAATTCCAATAATCGTAAACCGCTGCATTGCTCTCACTGTGACAGAGATCATCACACGAAGGAGACATGTTGGAAGTTACATGGTTATCCACCAGGACAATCCAAGCATACCACGGCAAAAAAACCATCATTTCAAGTCCAATGGCAATAATCAATCTTCAGCCAATAGTGTCAAAGAAACCATATCAGCACATGTTCAGCCCCTTGTGAATGGATTTACTAAACTACAATTACAACAAATTTTGGCTATTATGTAGAGCAATGGAACATCTCAATCAGCTGCTCCCAAGGCAAATAATGTCAATTTTTCTTCAGGTTTGTCCGCACCAAAATTGATAATTGATAGTGGTGCAACAAATCACATAATTTCTTCTCCATCTTTACTTGTCAACAGTAAAGAAAACACTTCTTTACCACCAGTTGTTATGCCAAATGGAGATCAAGCTCCAATTACTTCTACTGGAAATTTGCCCTTAAGTTTTATTATTTATTTAAAGAATGTACTTGGGGTTCCATCTTGTAAGGTGGATTTGATGTCTGTGAGTCAAGTCACAAGTGATTTAAATTGTTCAGTAACTTTTTTCCCACAATTGTGTATTTTGCAGGATTTGATGACGGGGATGACGATTGGTTTGGGTGAACAACGAGATGGACTCTATTACTTGGTTGCAATGAATAAGTCACACAAGGTTAATACCATCAAAGCTGCCTCCACTTCAAACACCTCGAGTATCTTGTGGCATAGGCGTCTAGGACACTTATCCTCTTTCAGATTAGACTTTATAGCCAAAAATTTCCTTCATTTCCCTTTCAAACAAAATAACAATTGTACTGTTTGTGCTCTTGCAAGACAAACTAGACTCCCTTTCTCTACAAGTTCTATTTCCTCTGTTAAACCTTTTGAATTAATACATTGTGATATTTGGGGGCCCTTTAGAGTCCCTTCCCTATCTGGTGCAAAATATTTTCTGACTATTGTGGATGACTTTTCTCGTTTTACTTGGGTTTTTCTAATGCATCATAAAAGTGAGACACAAAAAAATTTAATCGATTTTTTCTCCTTTGTGAAAACCCAATTTGATACTACAATAGCAAATATTTGGGTTGACAATGGGGGAGAGTTTTTCTCTATGCGAGAATTCTTTAAACAACAAGGCACTAATTACCAATATTCTTGCATTTATACACCTCAACAAAATGGGGTGGTTGAGCGCAAACATAGACATATCCTTGAGTCAGCTCAAGCTCTTCGTTTTCAATCTCACCTCCCTTTACACTTTTGGGCAGAATGTGTCTCCGCTGCTGTTCATATAATTAATAGGTTGCCCACACCTATCCTTTCTCACCAAACTCCTTTTGAAAAACTATATAAAAAAATTCCCTCTTATTCCCACCTTAGAGTTTTCGGATGTCTAGCTTATGCTACAAATGTTCATGTGCCCCATAAGTTTGCTCCTCGTGCCACCAAATGTGTTTTTATTGGTTATCCAATTGGTCAAAAAGCTTACAAATT